GTTGGCGGTTTCAAGGGGACACCTGAGACCGGCGCACCTGAACAATGCGCCAAGGTGTAACCCTAAACTTAGACGTACCCACTGTTTATCCCCCACGCTCTCCTTCTCCTATTCTTTCCCATCACTCTCCTCTCATACGGCTCCAAAAGCTCGTTTCACTCTTCATAACCTGATCTATTCCACCCGGGTATTCTGTCAATCTCTTCACTCATTGGCTCTCTCGTCTTCCCATTCTTTCACCTTCTGGGCATCACAAATGCATTGTGGGTGTCAGACAGAACGTTATGGTTCAAACTGTATTTTCTCCCATTTAAATCATTCAACTGGATCTCTGTAGGGTTGAAGAGGTTAATCGGATTAATCATGATTAATCGTGAATTAATATGGTGATTGATTAATTGTTGACTGGAGGATACAGACTAAAAAAATGGTCATTTGCCAAAAGAACACAGTCAGAGCAGTAAAAACCTTCTCTGTTAAATATGTTCAGAACTTAAAGCAAAGTTTTAGCTCAAAAAAGGGAACAAAAAGAAATCTCTTATTAATCACCTTTTGCTATCCATTTATTAATAATAAAAAAAAACCCAGAATTGACAGTATTTGTAGCTGCAGATGCATCCTTTGCTAAATGATCAGGAATACAGTAATAAAATCCTATGTTATTGCATTTAGGCAACAATAATTTTCTTTTCTTTTTTAAAAAAAGGGAATTAAATTATTTGCTCATTTGATTTTGACTCTTAATACATTTCTAAGACTGTGTAATAAAAAAGGCTTAAGTGGTTCAATGAAAAATCTGCAGAATGTGCCAATTTTATGATCCGATTAATCAATTATTCTTCAGGATAATTGATTAGGCCTGAAATCATCTTAAGTTGCAGCCCTAGATCTCTACCTGAGACATTCCTCCATTTCGTCTGCAGCCATTTTCACACAGGCAACACTTTAACTCGGAGGAATAGCGTTTTTACAGCAGCTGACAGCGGCTAGCAATGGTATGACTCAGTGGCTCAAAAGGCAGCAGCCATGTCACCATGGAAGGGCATCTATATGGAGTTGTTGCCAAGGCTCTGCCGTCAAATGCAAGTAAGATTCTGCATTTTAAATCTGCGCAAGGAGGAAGGAAAATTAATAAGGTGAAAGAAGTGTGGGTTTAAGACCAACTTAGCCTTCAGAGGCTTCTGTTGTCTGAGCGGCCTTTAGTCAGCATCTTTCACACTCCACCCGTATTTCCACGCATGTCACTCCAGTCGAACAGGCGCCCCGCAACACCTGCACCCACACCCAGAAACACGCACTTAGGACTCTCGTTCTCGTCTTTTTTTGGTGCTCCAACAACTGTAACTGTGTCTTTAAACAGCAAGTAGCACAGAGCACCAAAAATAGCCCAGCGAGTTGCAGAGCAGATCTGCTCTCCTTGAGGAAGGGAGGCAAGAGGAGGATGGCGACAGAGAGCATGGAGGAGGTGCAGACAGAGAGGAGGAGAGATGACAGGGAAAAGATGGCAGAGAGAGACCAATTCTCCGGGATTTAGGCTTCCCTGCTGTGATTAAGTTCAAGTTTCTCCTGCAGTGCCAGCAGTCAGTGCCTCAAAAAAAAAAAAAAGTTGCATAGCAACATGAAACATTTCAAATGTTATGAAAGAACAAGCAGAAAAACATAATGACTGCAGAAGTCAAGTTGACTGAATAAGTTGTTTCTCGTTTGCATTAAATTATGTCCCACAAAGCAACCTCATATCTGCCATAGTCGTAGCTGCAAATCAAACACCTGTGAGGCAAATATTGTTCACACTCCGATTACAATGTTGGGGTTTTGTGTCAAAAAGCACTGAAAACTGATTTTAACATCATTTGTGACATCTATCCTTAGGAATCAACTCTGTTGAGGGAAACAGACAGCATAGAAATTGCAACAACCTGGTTACATAATGCTAAATTAATATCTTGCTGAACACGTTTTGATCTAATTTCAGCATTCAGTCTTCTTTGGTGTGATTCCATCAGCATCCCATTTTGTAACCAACTCATTTTACCTTTTCTAAACCTGGAAAGGTTTTTCTATATTTGCCAGATTGTGGGGACTTCTCTTGTTCAGAGCATATTATCTGTCACATTATCTGTCAGTTTTTTTCCTGGAGTCTAGCATGGAACTTTACAAGACTTAAATTTGTCTCAGATAAAGTTGTTGCACGATTTGAGTCATGCATTGCATAAAGATTTTGTTTTAAAACTGACAAGTATTTAAAAGGGTTAGGCTGTTAAAGATTTTATCCAAAGTGACAAAAGTTTAGAATCAGGGGAAACGTAATCCCAGAAGATAATCCTGCCACCACCAGTTTACTGTTGGTTCTTGGTGATAAGGGATCCCAAACTTCCCATTTAGAAGTCCCAGTCTGATTTCATTACACCATAAAATTTTTCTGTAAAGTTTTGAGAGAATTTAGCAAAATCTAGAAGTTAATTTTGGAAGTAAAGGACCATTATTTATGCCAAACTCATTCTTCCAGAAATATAAAGAATACAAAAGATTGTTGTCATGTGTGCAACCCAATTAATAATAAACAAAAATTTGAATTAGCACCTCGATTTGTATAAACGTACGACTCTGGACAATGCAAATGACCAGTTTACATCTCGTCATTTCATCAGTAAGTACAAATGTCCAATTTTAGTAATGCTGCAATTTTGTAATCTTCTCCTGACTAAAACCTTGACGGCATCCATTCGACTCAAGATATCTATCATAAGAATCCTCCTTGAACCTTTATCAGGTGGATAACATTCATTATAACACTGGAGAAGACTGAAAGCTGAAATTTAATGAAAAGGTAATTCAATAAAGTAAAGCAGCCATTTTTTGTTTTTTTAGAATTTCCCTCCATTAAAACAGATGTGTTTGTTGTTCACTTTATTTGTAAAGGATACAATTCACCATAAAGATTGATTAAGTTCTGAAATGATAAATTAGGATTTAATTTTCTTAAAATCAACAAAACCTTTCAACAGCCGCTGTGGATCAGAAAACCTCATTATGCAAGATTACCATTATAATTCTCAGTAAATGTGAATCTCAATATTAACAGGTTGTGGGAAGTGTATTCATACTTTCAACCATCTCCTCTGATGGAAAAACACAATACAAAGTGCTATCATCGCAAACTTTCCCCAGGCAACATATATATATATATATATATATATATATATATATATATATATATATATATATATATATATATATATATCTATATATATATATATCTACATGTATATATAGATATATATATATATAGATATATATATATATCTATATATATATATATATAGATATATATATATATATATATATCTATATATATATATATAGATATATATATATAGATATATATATATTTGTATATATATATATATACTATATACACACTCAGTAAAGAGTTGAGTGAAGCTGTGGTTCTCTGGGAGAGAAAGAGAAAGAAAAAGAGAACAAATATGTGCTTTATTCCTCCACTACAACTGATAATGTGATGTGTGGCAGAAGAGTCTTGTAAACTGAAATTTTGTATTTTCTAACCCCCTCGATACAACAGCTATGAAAATGATAACATGGCTGTTATCATTTTGCCATGTTATGGCTGAGATCATATCTGGAAGATTAAAGTCCAGTTCTTTTATTGAGAGTAAGAGAGGAGGCTGTTTTTCATCCTCATTTAAAACTATATAAAAACATTAAGCTGTCATGTCGCTTCACAATGCAAACGACGTTATAAACATCATGTTTCTGCGTTTTTCTAGACGTGATTGTTTCTAATCGCTTCTCGGCTCCATAAAGAAGGTGGAAATCTTTTTTTTTCCAGCAAACTAAAATCATACATTGTACAACTAGAAGTACAATCAGGAAATAAAACCAGCATGTCACTCAACATACTTAGATAAAGAAAGAAAATATCTGTCAGTCAATTGACCAATGATCAGAATTAGTCAGTTTTTCCCAAATCAAACTCATCAAATATTAAAAGGTTTTTTTTCCCCCATGTTCTTTAAAAATGTTCTACATTTATGGTGTGTTGATAAAAATCCACAAACAGAATGTTCTTTCATGTGCTTTAGTTTGATTTCAGTAAAATCAAGTGAAGGTCGGATTCATGCTTTCATGTAAACAGTTTTTAAAGATCTGGGTTTATAAGTGAACAAGCCTTTTTACAATCAGCCAGCAGTAAACCGTTTTTATCACCAAAAGACAAGCTGACACACAGCGCATGGCAAAAATAAAGCGGCATTGCTTTCAAAAAATAGACCAGCATTAATATCAAAACAATACTCATTTGTGTTTCAGCTTAATGACAACTCAAATCAAGGGGAAAGAGAAAGCACTTAATGTTGGCATCTCACTTAAAATAAAGGTAAAGGAATTAAATTAAACACATGTGGCTGTGAAACTTGCTTTAAAAACTGCAGTCGGCTACACGGCGATGCAACTGTTAGCACCCCGCCATGGAGCTGGTGGGTTTCAAATATCTCAAATAGCATGAGATCTTGGTATTTGGATTTGCATGTTCTTCCGCACATACTCCCAAAGTCCAAAGATATGACTTTAAAGTAACTGGTGTCTTGGGTATGACTGTGTTTGACTGTATTTTTTTTATCCAAAGTGTCATAAGCTAAGAGTTATAGTTTTTAACACATTTCCCTCCAGATAAAGATAAACAATAATTGTTCATCCATCCTGGTAAATGTGACTTTGCAAAAGGTGGACATGCTTTGAACCAAAATCAGCCGCCATCTTTTACCCACTAAAGAAGATCTTCCATCTAAAAGAACAATTACAGTACACTATGAAAAATCTTGTTGACAATTATTTTAACTGCAGTGTATTTCATGTTAAAGATATGGAGTGATGGCAAGAGAGACCATAAAACAAACTTTAAATTTGTAATGAGCTAAAATCCTTTTTGATCGTTGCTAATCTCATCAGTACAGATTTTTAAAAGTTAAAGTACTTACTATTGCTGGACTTGAGGTCTCTGTGGATGATTGGTACAAACGCCTGGTTGTGCAGGTAATCCATGCCCGTGGCAATCTGCACGGCCCAGTTCACCAAGACCCTCGGGGGAACATTCTTCCCAGCCAGTGCACGGTTCAAAGCCCCTCCTCTGGCATACTCCATCACCAAGCAGAGGTTGGGTTCCTTCAGGCAAACTCCGCGGAGAGCAATAATGTTGGGGTGACGAAGCATCCAAAACAGCCTGGCCTCCTGCCGCACACTCTCCGCTGTGACACTAATATCCTCATCTGGATCCTGCCTGGCAGCCTTTACAGCTACCTCCTCTTTCCGCCAAACTCCTTTGTACACCTTCCCGAACCCGCCGGCTCCTATCACCTCCTCCAGGGTCAGTTCTGAGAAGTCAATCTCCAAGGGGGAATCACTCACCCGAACTGCCACCAGGCTCCCGACCTTCAGCTGCTGGTAACTGGCAGCGTCTCCTCTGGTGACATAGTTACTCGGAAAGATACCCACCTTGTCCTGGATCTTTCCTGTCCACCACCCCTCGTCCCCAGACACTTTGGAGTCTTTGGAGAGAACCTCGAGGAGGTCACCGCGTCGCAGGGTTAATTCCTCATCTGCTGTGGCCTCATAATCAAACACCGCCGTCCAGTAAGGGTTGGGGTTCTTAACCCCACATCGGTGACCAGGATGAGAATCTGGAGAATCCGAGGACGAGACGGTAGAGGAGTTCCAGCTGGTTCCGTTCTCCACCTGCACGAACGGGGCGGGGGACATCGGTGGTGGAGGGGTCATGCTCGGGGGCATGGACGAGGAGGAGGTAGAAGAGGACGGGGGCCCAGGGCGGATGAGGCAAGGGGGAGGCGGTGAGCAGCAGCCTCCGCAGCTGGTGCAGGACACCGAGGTCGCTGTGCTGCTTGGTCTTCCGTATGGATTCATGGCGGCCTCACTGCTGTTTGAAGCTTTGGGCCCGTGTCAACTCAGGCACGAAACCTTCACAAGGCCCATGGACTGAGACGAAGTGGTCTCGACCAGCCTGAAGGAGCCCAGGTCAGGGGATCTCCCCCCTCACTGCATCTCATTTATGAACTTGTGCCAAATCGTAGAGTTGCAACACAATACGCAGGTAGCAGGTATGGCCAAAAGGTAGGGTGACACAGGGGTAATGTACTTCAGGTCAAACAATGACACTCAGCAGGGCAGCTCAATGACTGAATTTCCTAGAAAACGGATTGTTTGCATGAACTGTTGAATCTTTTGAAAGCTGACACAAATTCTCGGTAAATTAGAAAACGGTAGGTATTCATAGCTACTTATAATAAAAACTGATTGCCATCACTGTGGTTTTGCATTGGAGGATGCAAATATTTAGTGAAGGATGTGCACAACTGTGACAAATTCATTCCTAGGTTTTAGGAAACGTACGCAATAATAATAATAATAAATTATGACCTCGGAGATTTTCGTTCTTGGCTTTAGTTTGCTTAATTTCAGCCAATTAAAAATGAACCCTGAGAGATCGGAGGCGGCTTCACCACTTGCTGGCGTGACAATGAAGCCACAGCTGACTGTCAGATTAATTTCAGTCAGGAAAATGAATTATTAGGCTCTCAGTAACAGCCAAAGCAAGTGCATGAGCCGAGTGAAATCCTCTGTGCAGGAGTTGGGGGGGGAGGGAGGGACAGGGGTTTGCATCACTTCTCATCCAGCCGATGCACCTCCCCCGCCAGTCGTCTCCATGAACGTGGTGTGCCGCTTTCTCCTCTGCGTCGCGCGTGGAAATATCCGCGGATATCTTCGCCCTACATCTCCACGAGCCGGTGCGGGGCTAAATCCTATCCACGCATGGCCACCTCGTTAGCCGGTTACGCTTCCCTGAAAGGCTCCAGACAAAAGGGCCTCGTCCATTTTAATACAGCTGAGCGGGGATGAGAGAGCCGGGCCGACGGCTGAGTGGCAGCAGGTACTCAGTGACTGCCGCGGGGCAGCGAAGTGGCACCATGTTCAGCATCCAGAGCAAGCGCGAGCGCAACAAACCTGCCTCCGTGCGTGCGCAGCGGCCTGCATCAGTCGCCTCTGCTGCTGCGGGGCTCCATCGGAGAAGTCCTTCTTCGCTGGGGACCGATAAATACAAACATTTATCATTATTGGCTCACGTTTCGAGGAGGAGCTGCATGTTCGGCTGTGTGAACGTCTTCTTTAGCAGAGACGGAGGCTGTCGCTCGGTTCAGCAAGGTGGAAAATGTTGTCAGCGAAGATTTGCATGGAGCTGGCGGGGACCCGAGTCCACTGTAGCCGTGTCCCTATTTCTAAATAATAATAATACAAAAATATTCTAATTCGTGTATGACGCGTCTTCCGCCTCTGATTTTATTTTATCCCGGCGTCCACGGAAACCTAATCTGGACACTGAAGGCAGCAACATCCACAGAAACAGTCGCAGGGGCGTCTTCATTAGGATCCGAAACCCCAATTAAATTCAGAATTAAATAAAAGCGGCATTTGCAGCTTAGTGGCTGTTGTTATTCCGGAGCGTTTCGCCGTGTCCCGGCGGGTTTTGTCCTCCAAATAAGGCGTAGACTCCACTATTCCGCTCCCGAGCTCGGAGCTGTCAGTCTGTGGGCTGACTTTGCATCCAAACACACCGGGCAGTGGCGTGCGCGTTCACGAGAACGAGCGCGTCCGATGTTTTCGATCTTCAAGTCATCCGGATGGCCGCAGCGTGCATTTTCATCTCTGGCCATCCCGTCTGCGGCCGTGTGCAAATCTGCAGTTCACCTCATCCCGGGAAGAGGAGGCGGTCCTGGCAAAATAATATGAAACGGTGCTGGTGCATTCTGGGTAATGTAGTTGAGAAGGTCTTTCTTTTTGACCTACATCATTTCGTCAGCTGATACAATGACATAATTAGCAATATCATGCTTGTATTAACAAGGGATTGGTAATACTGAAGATATACTTCAATCGTTCCAGAAAATAATATTTAAATTACTCCACTATGACATAGACCGCGTTGTCGTGCGTTTACATATGTGAAAATAGTGCGATATTTTCGTAAAGCTTGACAAAAATATATTCAGGTTTAATTCACACCTATTCTGTGATCTATAATGAATGCATAAAACCTAATTTATGAACGTAATCAATGTTTTTTTTGGATGTTAAAAAAATAATTATATGTTAATTCAATTAACTGAATTGAATTGACATCAATTACCCCGTGGAATGTCTTTATTATTTTTAAAATGTACAATCAAACAACATAAAAAAAAAAATAAGTTAACATTTTAAATAAATAAAAATCTGACAATATGTTCACAAGTGAAGCTTTTATGAAGCCACGCTGCCCCCTGGTGCGTTTTTACTGACACACAAGCATGATGTATAACTCCAGGTTCTTACAATCCACCATTTGTCAGTGATTCAGTTCAACCTGTGAAACATGCATTGCATATAGATTTATTACACACAAATATTTTTTAAATGTTCGTGTCAAAATTTTTACATCGCACATTTAAAAACAACGTCAGCTGACCAATGTAATAATACCTTGACATTAAATTTCCCAGCAAAACACAAGGCAAAAACAAGTTTTCTTCAATCAAGAAATGTAATCTATGATCATGTGACGGCCCACTTTACACAATCACTGTGGCAGCAGACATCCTCATTGATAGATGTTGCATGTTCACAAAATTAATAGAAAACTGAATGAACGGAAAAAGGAAATTGGTTCACAAACAGCGGGCATGAAACAGTCTAAAAAGTGATTTTACAGGTATGCCTACATGAGTTTTAGAGTTTCTAATTTCCAGGTAAGCCACCGAAAAGGTTGATTTTACAAACAAAATAAAGTTCTTTTTCTGCCAGATGTTTTGTCACATTGGTCTGTGATTTGAATAAAAAAATTATAACTGTAAAGAAGTGAGTGAAAACCAATTTGTTTTTATAGTATTTTAGTTTTTTTTTTTTTGGTACTGTTTCAACTGGAAACACGTAATGTCAAAAGGAAACGGTGGATGATTATATGCTTATAAGAACTGAGATTGCTTTTGTTTGAGTCAATAAACAATAATTTTTTGTTTATGGCAATGTTTCTTTGAGGTGCAATATTAAAAAGATTGCAAATTCTCTAGAAAATGTCAAACAACAGACATTAAATAAAGATGCAAAAACATAAATTCAAGTAAAAAGATTGCATTATTTTTTTTAAATCACCTTAAATCACTAAACTTCGTCAACTACGAGCCACCCACAGACATTTAAGGACCAATCTGAAGGTACACAAATATCAGTTAGTGGGGAAATTATCTTTGCTCACCACAGGGTGGCGCCATTTAGCAACTTGTGCACTTGCCTTTGAATTCAAATTCAATTTGTGGATCCAGACACCAGTCGACAAAAGCCATCTCAAATTCAAATGAAATCAAAATACTATTCAATTTTATGCCAATAATCGTACAAACAGATGTTCAATATATTTTGCCAAGACATTTCAAAACGTGACGTTTAGAATCTACATTTAAGAAAACTCAAACGTTTCTCAGACAAATATCAGTGTACTGCAGTCTTTCAGTTTTATTTATCTATGAGTAATTGACCCCACCTGAAATGATTTTTTAAAATATCAGAAAACTCACAATTAAAATCCAGTCAACGTTTCAGCATTTTGTTTGTCATAGATTAAATTGTAAAGTCCAATTTGTTTCTGGTTGCTGTAGAAATAAAGATATAATCCTTTTCTTTTCTTTTTTTTAATGCAATTATGAAGATAAAAAAATATTGAAAGAATAGTTAAAAGTCTCTACTAGTACAAGTAATCAAGCTAATAAAGTTTAATTACAAATATTGACAAATATATTTTGGATTGTTTATTATAAAACATGGTGGAAATGTAACTATTAAAAACTACAAAAGACATGATGCCTCAGAAGTCCATCCATATAGCCACAGTGTTTATTCTCTATACTTAGAATTACATAATTCTGGAAAACTCATACGTTTCTCAGACAAATATCAGTGTACTGCAGTCTTTCAGTTTAAAACGATGACACGTCAGTTTACATTTTAATACTGCGGCGAGCCGCCGACATGATTCAGGTTAGAACCAGGTCAAACAAATGAAACTCATTTTGACAACTTGGGCTGAATCGAAAGATAAGTAATGATGCACATTAGTATGAGAAAGGTTGATTACTGATATGAAAGAAACACTTCTGGAAATCTCAAATGTAATCGCATAATGAAGAACAGAGGTATACTTTTTATAAGAAGTATTTTTGCTTGTTGGAGTATTATTTTAGAAATTAATACGTGTTAGAAATGAATTTGAAACAACCCAGTTTAAAGAGTTGCAGGACGAAAAACGTTAAGAAAAAAATATCTGCTTCTCTCATTGTAGACGATCAGATGAGACTGAATCCAAATTGTTCTATTGGATGAATTGCTCAAAAAAATATATTAAGTTCCTGAAGAAAACTCATAATTAATTGACATTTATGGGCAATGCTGCTGTATTTTATAAACAGTTACTTTAAAGCTATAAAGACATGCGACAATGTATGTGAGAAGGAGAAATATAATTACTTTTAATTGAAAATAAATGGATATGTAGGATTAGATTACGTATTGAAACCTCTTGCTTCAGCTCTGGCGATCTGCTGCCCCTTCTGGTTACTATCAGTGTTGCAGCTAATGTGTCTGCGCGTGCGCGGTAGGAGTGCGGGCGCAGTTTGTACCTTGGTTTCGGTTGAGCATTCTTGGCAACGTCTCGCTCGGAGAACAAGCTGCACACTGACGGTGAACCACCGACTGTTTCCCCCCCGATGTCCAGAGAGTTGTGATTAACGGACTAACAGAACACACCGGAGCGGGTTTTGGGTAAGGTTTTTCATTGTCTCTGCGGCTTTCTTTGGCTTGTTTTAGCTGAAACTGCGGCAAATATTCTCAGGAGCTGAAAAGTGACGAGAGAACTGAACGTTAGCGAGCGGGGCAAACACGGAGCGGCGGCAGCTGAGCCAACCAACTTCAGTCAGCCTCTCGACTGCCGCCCAGCCGTTTGTCCCTCAGTCTAACCGGGAGGCTGGTACCCCAAGCCCCGAGCTCTGCCTCAGCCTGGGAGTTCCCGGCGAGCTTCAAATCTACCGCTACCCGCGATCATTTATTTACAACAAAAATACTCCACAACCTCTCTGATCGTTCAAGATCCAGTGCGCATGCTCTCTGGGGTTCTATAGAATTCGGTTTTGTAGTTTTCCTGCGCATGAATTAATCACAGTCGCGAGGGCCAGTGGAAAATGGTAAAAACTACAAGTTCCAGACAATGGAGCTTTGTTTGGGAGCGAGGCTAGGCTGCTAAGTTAGCCTGGAAACAAGCTTTGAATTTCGAGTAGTTGCAAGTTGTGCTGGTTGGAGGCTCGCTTCGCTGCGCGGAGCATGACCAATGTTTGGGCTGCGGGGTTTAAACGGTTGTTTGCGGCTACGGGTCGTCATGAGGGGGGCGTGCAACACGTTTTAATTGTTGTAGTAAACGCAGGACTGGAGGAGCTCCTCTGCGTGTGTGGACACGCACCGTCGGTTCACCTGTCGGAAGACCTGTGTCAGTTTGATCAGGATTAGCAAACGCATTGTTGCACAGGTGCGTTTGTGTATACACCGGCTGAATGGGAGAAGATGATGCCTGTCTTTGCTATTGAAATCCCATGTGCTGCTGTTGCTGTATTTCCCAGCCTTCGGGAAATGGCACCTTGAGCATTAGGATGTGGATTCCTGAGAGCAGCAGAGCATGGCTGCACTGTGCATTCTCTTGGCTCCATTTACTCTGTTTACCTTCCAAAAAAAAAAAAAAAATAATAATAATAATAATAATAAAGGTGACTATGATGTTTCTGGTTAATCACGTGAGCAGCATTACAAATTAGTGTTTGTGTGCAGTGGGTATAACCTAGATTTCACGTCCAGTGTGGAACTCAGGTGGTTCTGCACATTGTAAATCCAGTAGAGGAGTGTTGTTGATGGATTACTGCAGAGGTTCATGCAGTTTCCATATCCAACTTCTTTTGCTCTTTTGCAGGTATGTTAACACAATATTGAAAAGTTGCATGTGAAAACAATCTGTTTCATCCATCCATCCATTTTCTAACTCCCTCGTCCCTAGTGGGGTCAGGACGGGTGGGCAAGAGGCAGAGTAAACCCTGGACAGGTCACCAGTCTGTCGCAGGCAGTCTGTTTCATCTGACAGCAAAAAAAAAGAACTAATGCCAAGAGCATTTATGTAGGTCAAAAGATTATGTGGTCAGCCTGTTGAGCTCTAAAAGACTGGAGTAATTTATTTCCCTCAATTTACGTTGGACACCTGACAAATTGTGACTCACAATTACACAGACACACAAAAAAAAGAATAAAAATGCTTAGCTTGAAAAATATTTTAGCTTTTGTCTTTACAAATTTTGCTGGACAATAAATTATCCCAGAAATTATTGTAATAAATGATCAAGACCATTTTCAAGTAATATAACGGTAATACCATAATGATGCAAGAACACAATCTCAATAAACTTTGAAATCTAATAAACAGTTAACACTTGGAACTGATAGACATTTTAGATATCTGCAATAAGCAAACAAAACAATAGAAACAGCAAATAAAATGAATTACGAAGTCTCTGTAAATAAAATTTTCCTTCAAAAAAGGGCCAGTTGAGCCCAATGCACCACACTGAAGATCAGTTTTGGTAGGAAAGAGAGCATGAGAAAAGAGAAAAATGACAAATCATGCAAATGGAAATTATTGAGCTTGTTTTAATGTATCATGTAATTAATTGATTTATTGCTTATTGTGACAGGCCCACTTGTCCAAAAACATTTAACAAGAAGTGCTTTATGAATGTGCTGTCTTTTTGAATAAATGTCCAATAATTGATTTTTCAATAGTACTTTTATTGAGCCAAAAGGTCACGTTTGTTGTTTCACCATTGAATCCACAGTTAACTTCAGTGTTGGATGTTTAAATTGAAAATATACAGTGGTATCTAATAGTCATTATTATAGCTGGATGATGCTGGGAAATCACATGATGGTGATATTATTGTTAAACATTGCAGTGGTGAAATCAGCTGGGATAAATACCCATTTTCTTCACTTGTCTGTTTCTCTCTGTGACCTTTAGCAACAATCAGCTTCCTGCTGCAGAGAGACTCCAACGAGCACCTACTGCATTCAAAACTAGGGCTGTGTGATATTAGGCGAAAAAAATGCATCAAATATTGATGAGTGTTGCGTTAACGGTACAAGTTATAAATGATCAGATAATTATTAAAAAGTGTTGATGTCTGTCTGCTTTAGGATTCATGACCTCTGATAATGGGCAATCTGTCAAGCATCTTGGGATTGGAAATCAATATTTCAATAAAATCCAAGGTTTAATTGGAAAAGCAACTTCTGGTCAGCATATGCTGTTTTGGAAATGAAGTGACTTGGTTGTAGTTTCTCAATGACGTGACCAAGTTTATTTTCTGACACAAAATCTTAAAAACTAGTGTCATCAAATAGATTGCAGCCAAATAGAATTTGAATTCACGTTACTGAAAGTATTGACGAACATAATTGTAGCCCAGGCATTCTTCACAATGTGCTTATTGTGTTCTGTGATACATATATATTGCCCTGCCTTGTTTATATCTAGTTGTACAATGAAATGGCTGAATGAAAATGATCACAACTTAACTGAATTATCTAAACATTAGAAGTAATGTTTATGTAGTAGTACTTGTAGAGAAATTTATTGTCCTTAAGGGGCAATTGGGTTATAAATCATATCAACTGATACTACATTTACACTGTTGACACTGAAAAAAATGACCCAATTGCTCCTATTGTCTCTGCTTCAGTTAAACACTATCACATAGCAGTCACACTCATTTACTTCAAATTTCTCCATTCTGCTTCTCTTCATGTTCAGTTGTTCTAAATGGAACATCTCCAGCTTTGTAATTCTTGTATGATACACATTCTTCAACCTGGTGTGATACATTATCTGAGCTAATATGGACTATTTTCATAACTTCGACCTGATGTCACGGGTATGGTATAGCGCCTCCAGCAGTTATCTTGTAGTCGTCGCCACTGGGTGCCAGACAACAGTTGCTTATGATCTGGGATCAGTCTGAACATCTCATATTTTCTGCTACTTAGTTTGGTGTTTCATTGCAAGCAGCTGCAGGAACAAAGAACACTGTCTTCAAAGGGAGCTGGATGTGGGCCACCTGAGTGATTTTGCCTGTAAACATTGGTTTGAATCACCATGTTGTATCTTCACACGAATGATTCAGTTGTTGATCTGTTTCCTCTTTTTCTTTGTTCTTGAAAAATTCATTTTGGAGAACTTACTTGCAGGCTTTTTTTGTGTGTGTGTGTGATCATCTTTTTAGAAAAACAGAAATCTTACCACCGGTGCCCCTTGTAACAATTTCACTAATGCGTCAAAAGCTGTGCTTTTGGCACCTGTGAGTTTTTGATTCCCAGCTGCGACATGTTGGCAGCGCTTCTGCTGTTTGTAATATCATCCCTTGCCAGGCTTCCAGTTAATCCTTTTACACATCCTTTCGTTAAATAAAGGTTAATATAAAAGAAAGTGTGCGCTTCCAGAATGCTTGGGAACAAACACATGCACTCACACACGCCATCCATCATGATCATGGATGTGTCCTGATAGGTCAGAGTGGGAGGACAAACCGTTAGAGCATGGATACCATCTGCTCCGTGTCAAGGTCCACGCTTGCGCCCCAGTGTGTTTGCATAAGTGTATGTTTTAAGGAGACAGGCATGTAAAATTGTCTTAAAATTCCTTTTTTTCCCCTCAAGTGTAATTGAATAACCTGAACATTACGGGCTACTTGGACTCGGCTCACGTCGAGCTGCATTTTAAACTATTCTTCCCAATTCTTCCTCATAAATTAACAGGTTAGAGCCGCATTGACAGTTACTCCACAAGCTATCACACCTGTCATTACAGCTTCCTCCTAGCTGGGCTGAAATGCTGTTAGGACATTAACTGACTCTGGTCAGCAGGTGTTTCTGCTTGATTACAGTTGTAATGCTTTTATCGGAAAATGTGAAATTAGGTGAAGTTATCATCGACCCAGTGGTTCAGACCAGGCAACTCCTATTTATGTTTGGTCAAAAATTCTGCTGTACAGAAAAAAAAGCCACTATGACATATTTTGGATCCAAATACAAAATTGTCTAAAACTGAACAAAGTATTGGCAATTTATTAAATCCTTTCTTAGAGCATTAACATTTACCTGTTGGTAATTTTTTTTTGTCTTTTCAAAATGCTTGAATTTTTTCATATTTGCCTTATTGCAATCACACATTTTATTGGGACTTTTTGTGGTAGACCAATGCAAAGTAATGGACGACTGTAGAAAAACATTGACTGACAGAGTGTTTAGGAGTATGGCCATCAGCTTTATGTATACAGGTTCATCCTTTGCAAAATAGCTCAGTCGGATTGGATGAAGATTGTAGGCACAGAATTTTGTTTGGATCTTGGCTGGGCCATTCTAACACATCAGCATGCTTTCTTCTATACGTCGTCACTCTGACTGCATGATTGGGATTGTTGTCCAAGTGGAACATTTTTCATAACTTTGCTTACTCTTAAAAAAATTTGACAGCTTTATCCCTAACCTGCCCAATGTATTTCTTGGTCTTTATGCTGCCTGTTCACTAGTGATCTCCAAGGATGTTTTCACACATGATAGTCCAGTGGATTTGGTTAGACTGGGGACCAAAATTGCAACATTTGTTACATATTTAGCTGGTGTGGTTCACTTTCACACTGCGTCAAACAAACCAAACCCCCTCCCTCTTGGTACTG